GCCCCAAAACCCACCCCAAAACCCACCCAAAGCCCATCCCTCACACCATGGCCAGGATGACACATCCCATAAAATCCCCTCCCGTCATTTCCCTCAGACGAAGCGAGTGGAGCAACCATCGACTGGACCTACAACCAGGGCATCAAATATTCCTTCACCTTCGAGCTGCGGGACACGGGACATTACGGGTTCCTGCTTCCAGCCAAACAGATCGTTCCGACGGCTGAGGAGAGCTGGCTGGCCCTCAAGGTCATCATGGAGCACGCCCGGGACAACATTTACTGAGCGGGATCGGCAGCTGGAGAGGGGGGAAGAACCCAATAAATAAATGGATGAGAAAAAGAAAAAGCTTTTTGTTGTTGTTTTCCCTTTCTCCCAAGCCGGGTGGAAAAGCCCTTTTCAGAGACGGATCCGGTGTTCCTGTGTGTGCCAACGCAAACAGGGCATGCTGGGCTGAAAAGGGCATGAAAAGGGCATGAAAAGGGCATGAAAATAGCAGGGATAAAAGGAAGGAAGGGGTTTTCCCACTGCTCTGGCACAGGGGGAAAAGGGTTGGTTTGGCACTGGGCAGCTGGAGCGGCTCCGGGATATGAGGCAATGGATCAAAGGGATTTATGGGGCTCCAGGCTGGAGAGGGATTGGGGACAAGGGATGGAGGCACAGGACACAGGGAATGGCTTCCCAGTGCCAGAGGGCAGGGATAGACGGGATATTGGGAAGGAATTCGTGGCCGGAAGGGTGGGGAGGGGCTGGAATGGATTTCCCAGAGAAGCTGTGGCTGCCCCTGGATCCCTGGAAGTGTCCAAGGGCAGGTTGGAGCAACCTGGGATAGTGGAAGGTGTCCCTGGGTGGAACTGAATGAGTTTTAAGTCCCTTCCTATCCAAACTATTCCATGATCCCTCTGGCCCAGGCCAAGCTTCAAGCCAGTTCCCCAGACCAGACTTTCAACCAGATTCCCAGGACAAGCTTTAAAACAGATACTTTAAACCACATTCCCAGGCCAGACTCTTTAAACCAGATTCTCAGGCCAGATTCTTTAAACCAGATTCCCAGGCCAAGCTCTAAACCAGATTCCCAGGCCAGATCCTTTAAACCAGATTCTCAGGGCAAGCTTTAAGCCAGATTTTTTTAAACCAGATTCCCAGGCCAGATTCTTTAAACTGGATTCCCAGGCCAGACTTTAAGCCAGATTCCCAGGACAACCTCTAAAACAGGTTCTTTAAACCACATGCCCAGGCCAAGCTTTAAGCCAGTTCCCCAGACCAGACTTTCAACCAGATTCCCAGGACAACCTTTAAGCCAGATTGTTTAAACCAGATTCCCAGGACAGAATTTAAGCCAGATTCCCAGACCAGACTTTAAACCACATTCCCAGGACAAGCTTTAAAACAGCTTATTTAAACCACATTCCCAGGCCAAGCTTTAAAACAGATTCCCAGGACAAGCTTTAAAACAGGTTCTTTAAGCCACATTCCCAGGACAAGCTTTAAACCACATTCCCAGGGCAGATTCTTTAAACCAGATTCTTAGGCCAGATTCTTTAAACCATACTCTTTAAACCAGATTCCCAGGGCAGACTTTAAGCCAGATTCCCAGGCCAGATTCTTCAAACCAGATTCCCAGGCCAAGCTTTAAACCAGATTCCCAGGCCGGATTCTTTAAACTGGATTCCCAGGCCAGACTTTAAGCCAGATTCCCAGGGCAACCTTTAAAACAACTTATTTAAATCAGATTCCCAGGCCAAGTTTTAAGCCACATTGCTTAAACTACATTCCCAGGCCAGATTCTTTAAACAAGATTCCCCAGTCCAGACTTTAAACCAGATTCTTTAAGCCAGATTCCCAGGCCAAGCTTTAATCCTGATTCCCCACCACCACAGCCCTGGTTTAGGGATCCCTCCGTGTGAAAATGGGCACCTCCTGCTTTCCCAATCCGAATTTATCCTTTCCCTCCCCGCCAGGGGCGGTGGGATTTGGCACTTCCCTGTCCCACCTCGAAGGTGACTCACCCGTGGCCCTGGCAGGTTCCTGGAACTGGTTTTTCCAGGCTGGCCATGCCGTGGATGGGGCACAGCAGGGCCTGACCTTGGCTGGTCCCAGGCAGGGCCTTCCCACGGCCCTGGGAAAAGGGGCAGCTGCGGGCGCCGTCCCAGAGGGATTTAAGGGGCTCCAGGGCGGTTTTGGGACACGAGAGCAGCCGTCCCCACTGACCATGAGGGTTCCCGTGCTCTTGGCCGCCCTGGTGGCCGTGGCCACCTGCACNTCCACGTCCCCCGGCGCCACATCCACAGGGATTTTAAATCCTTCCAGGCACGAGGACTCCACCACTGCCCTGGGCACCCTTTCCATGATGGAATTTTCCCAGCTATCCAACCTGAACCTCCCCTGGCACAACTTGAGGCTGTTCCCTCTTGTCCTGGGGCTCCCTTGGATCTCCCCGTCCCTGTGCACATCCAGCTCCGTGGAGAGGGGGGATCATTCTCCTGAATTACGCAGGAGATGCTGCTTTATTCCACGTTTTCCACCACAACATAAAAATGGAGCTGCTGCACAAGTCATATCCCAACTTCCAAAGCTAAATGGGATATTTCTGTGGTGCTTCAACACCAAATTCCTTCAGAAGCATCCTTTAGCTTTGATTTATTTATTTCACTTTCCCTGTGGATGATCCTGACACAGAATCCCAATTTTGTGTGGATCTCCTCCCTCTTTCCCGGAGAAGCCCAAGGATATGGCTCTTAACAGACTAAAACTTCCGTTCCTGGAGTCTGGAATCGTCTGATTGAACACTCAGAGACACAACAAACATCATAAAAGCGCTCAGGGGATGTTGAGCCTTAACCTTCCAAACTGGGAATTCTGTGCAATTCCTCCCCCTTTGCCCTTTCACCAGAATTACCCCAAAATCACCAGCGAATTCTGGGGAGGGTTTGAACATTTTCTGCTTCAAAAAGAGGGGGAAGAAAGCACTGAAATCCAAAAACTCACACAAAAACCCCCACGATAATCAAAGCTGGACCAGGCTCAGCAAGGCTGTAACTCAAGACTAAAGAGCAGGTCTTTTCTAAGCCTCACTCAGGCAGCTCTGCTTTGTCACCAGGGAAAACCAGATGATTCCCAGAAGGAAAACCGTGCCTCTCATTTTCCAGGAAACCCTCACCCTTGCTCAGCTCCACATTCCAGGTCCCTGCTGGGATTTAGGGATCCCGGTTCAACAGCAGCAGGAAATTTCCCCTTGAGCCACCAAAACCTCAAAAGAAGCTCCTAAAAAAACTCTGGGAAAGGTGTAACTGGGAATAAACTTCCAGAAAAAGACGCAACAGTTCCAAGTGTCCAGGAGCAAACACGACCCTCAGGTCCCAGCGCCACCTTGGGCCGATTTCCAAAACCACCTTTATTAGAAATACTTCTGCTCATTATCATAATTTAATTAAAATACCCCCCCCCCAAAAAAACCGCCTTTTTAAGGATCTTTTCTCCATTTTGGCAACTTGCTGAGTGTCTTTGTCTCTTGTCTGTTCTCCCAGGACAGTTCTGGCCCCTTCACCTCCGTGTGTGTCCACAGGTGGCTCCAGGGAACGTCACGGATGCAAATTCCATCCCCTGGACTAAAAGCTTGGTGGAAGTTCCTACTGGTCCCAGACTTCACTACCAGTTTGCTCCCAACCCTACAAACCTGTGGGATGACATTCCTGCCTCCAGGAAACCCCATTCCAGCTCTCCAAGCCTGACCCGAGCTGCCTTTTCCACACCTCCGGCTGCTTTTCCCTGCGGATTCCTAAAACCACAAAGGGGCTGCACTGCTCAGGGTATTCCCAAAACCTGGATAATCCTTTATTCGGTGGGAGGAGACCCCACCGGTTATTTCCAGGGCCTGTTCTGGAGGCTGGTCCTGCTGAGCGTACGGGAGCTGAGGGAGCCCGCGTTGGAGCCGTGGAGGCTGGGGCTGCTCCTCATGGACGTGGGCTTGGAATCCCGGCTGGAAATGCCACGGCTCAGGCGGCCTGGGGGGGAAAAACAACCCACGGTCACACACCGGGAAGGAGCTGTGGACACCCCATCCTGGAAGTGTCCAAGGCCAGGATGGGCAGTTGGAGCAACCCGGGACAGCGGAAGGTTTGGGGTTGGAACCGGACGATCCTTAAGGTCCCTTCCCACCCAACCCATTCCATGATCTTACTGGCAGTGTCCAAAGGAATGTGCTCCTCCTCCAGGTAGTACTTCAGCTTCTGGAGATCATCTGCAGAGAACCTCCACTTGTTCTCAGCTCGCGTGGGAGGGACTCTGGGAGAGGTTTTCCTTCGGGCGGATCCCGGGGGAGCCGGGACCTGGCAGGACAGCGGGAGTGTGCCCGTGATCAATCCCTCTGGGATCTTCTGTGCAAGGACCTTCAGGCCTGCAGGGACACAGATCCACGTTAGCCCAGCTGTGGTGGGATCTACCAAGCACAAGGGAAACACCGGATGGAGCTGAAGATCCGAGAGGTTCTGATGGAGAAAAGTGGGCAGGAGGGGAGGTGGGAATTCTGCCCCTCTGGGGAACAGCACAAGGACGTGGAGCTGCTGGGGCGAGTCCAGAGGAGGCCACGGAGCTGCTCCCAGGGCTGGATTCCCTTTGCTCTGGAGCCAGGCTGGGAGATCTGGGGGGGTTCACCTGGAGGAGAGAAGGCTCCAGGGAGAGCTGAGAGCCCCTGGCAGGGCCTAAAGGGGCTCCAGGAGAGCTGGAGAGGGACTGGGGACAAGGCCTGGAGGGACAGGACACAGGGAATGGCTTCCCAGTGCCAGAGGGCAGGGATACATGAGATATTGGGAA